ATTATCATCATGGACATCAAATTCAGATGTTTTATTTAATCCAAGCTTAATTAACTCATCGTTTAATCCGTCAGGATTTCCTGTTTCATCACAGTTGACTAATGCTTTAATGGCAGCTATTCATTCAAAATATGCTTCATCAATGATACCATTGCCTGGATTATCAGCAGGAGGTGGAGGAGGGTTGTCGAATATTCCTCTTAATAACAGTACGCCTTCATCGTCAGTGGGAACAGTTGGAGGGAATACAAGTACAACAACAATGACAGCGCATAAGTCTACTTCTTCAGTATTGTGCAATAACAATCCGGCAGTTAGTGCAAATCTATGGAATGATAACCAAATCCCATTGAATTTGGGCAGTAACAACAATGGAACTGTACTCAATAGTAATAATAACAATAATAATAACCATTTACTTTTAAATGAACTTCCATTCAACTCAATCGATGCCAATTTGTTCAGTGGGAACAACTGGCTACCGAATGCTTTGCACAGTTTATCAGCTTTGGAACAAGGTAATGTGCTTTTTAAAAATTTGTTTTCTGTGGATGGAAACAATAAAGTGTTTTTTTAATATGAACCCAAGATTTGACTTAATAGTTTCACAAACATTTTTCGTATTTTGAATTCTTTTCGATTTTTGTGATTACTTTTCGTTTGTCACTTTTTTTTGTTTTTTTTCCTTGACGTTCCCCAGTGGAACATAGGGCTTCAAGCTAGTGGCTTGAAGTTTCTGTAGCATTGTTTATTTTTACAGGATGGGATTGCCAGCCTCATGCCCAACCTTTCCTCTTCATTAGCTTTATTACTGCCTTAGCGAGGTAAAGGAGTGCACCCCGGACCATGTGCATGGTCGGCGAGCGTCCTAACCACTATGCCACCGACGCACACCGTTTGTCACTAGCATTTCATAAACCAATCAGATGTTTCTTATAGGCTTTTAATGTACACGAGGTATATGTAGTATTAGACTATATCAGGATTAAATGCAGGAACAACTGCTCAACTACTGTCAGATGATTCACTCAAGTGAAATCAGATGAACTGGAGTTTCTTTGTATAACCTAATTTTGGAAGTTAGACTGTCTGTTAGCTTTACAGGTAAAACAATTACACATTAGAAAGTAAAATACTTTGTTTGAAATCAACGTCAGGTTGGGTAATCAATGAAAGCAAAACAGTACTGGACAGCTTTCTATTCACACTAATACTAACCCTCAGCTCTGTAGGCTACTGTACTTATCGTCTGAAGGTTGCGAGGTAAGTACACTACTACTACTGGTTCAGAATGTAAATGTCTGTGACTTTTATTTCGGGTTGACCTACTGAAACGCTCATGAGGATACTGGAACCAAAAACTGACGAAGCTCTGCAGTACTGTTCGGTCTTTAGTTTCTCTTCGTCTAGTGAAATCTACCTTAAAGTTATTCACATCTCTAACACTGCAACGTTATTATATTTTTATTATTCCCTTGGGTTCCGAGTGGAACACAGGGCTTCAACAACACATCTCCACTTTTTCTTTTGTTGCCGTTCTCTTCAGCTGGGTCTACGACTACCCATAATCTCTCATTTCCTCCATGTCACCCTCGCACCAACTACCCATTCGTCACTTCCCATTGGGATTCCACTCCAGCAGTGGCCTGCAGTGAACGCGAACTCCTCAATGTGTGCCCAATCCATCTTTCTCCATTCCTTCCTACATATTTGTTGAGCGATCGGCTCTTGGTTGGTTTGTTCCCATAGTTTCTTATTGCTAATTCTCTCTGGCCGGCTGGTCATTTGATCTTCAATATGCAACCAGCGAAGGCAACTGTTGAAAAAAGTTTGCAACTTGTTGGAAATCCTTTTCGTAACACGTAGTGCAAGTTTCTAACCCATATAGAAGAACTGACTGACTTAACGTTTGTTTTGAAAATCCGAATCTTGTTCTTCATACTGAGGCGGAGTACAGAAAATTTCCAAACTGGTTTTAGGTTGATGAAGGCGTGTCTTGACTTTCCGATTCTGACTTTGACTTTTCAATAGAAAGCTCTGACTAATCAAGATTTCATGCTTTAGGGCGCAAATCGACAAAGCATAACTACATCATCAAGCTGTTTTTGAAATTTGAATTTACGTTACTTAATGAAGAAGTTGCAGATCTTATTGTCCAAATTATCTGACCACAAGTGATTCACATTAGAATGTATCCTCTTTAAACTACAAGTGGTAACTGTGACCATGGTTAGGTTTTGTTTTTGTTAAGTGAACTAGCCCTGAGAGCAGTGGAATTCTCACGGACGAATTAAAAGTTATTTATTAGGCGCATTTTTGTAGGGTGTAACTATAATTCTTATGTTTACAGTAATTCCCTACCATTTATCCATCTCCCAAATACATACACTTTCTCTGTATCTGGCTAAACTATTCACACATAAACTTGATATTAGAAAAAGATAAAAAGTGGATTATAAGCCTTTTTTCTATTCATATCACTCAGTTGATCTTTTGACTTATAAGAAAACGTTACATGTGCAGTTTACACTTGCCACTTGGGAGGTGGGCAGTGGCGACATTAAAAAAATAAATAAGCGATTAATTTGTTATCGTTATTACTATTTTTCTATGTTATTATTATTATTATCATCACACTGAAAATAATTCCTAATTAGTTATTACCGATAGGGGAAAGATAGAGGAAAACTCCTACTTACAGTATCTCTCTTTTACACTATTTAGATAAATAAACTAGGTTTAGGGAATTCTACAAATTCTCTAATGGCGTCAATGATATTCAAATCATAATTATTTGTAGAAAAGAAACATTTTTAATTAGAACGAATCAAATGGATTCACCTTTCTACGTTATTATGGGCACAAATATTGGTGCTTTCTGTGTTCTGTATTTTGTGTATTTACTCATTTTGGGAAAAAAAAAGAGGAAGGGAAGTTATTGTTCATGTAAAGATAGAGAGTATGCTGTCAACAAGGCTTAATTCATAAATAAGCTGGTGTATATAAATGGCTCCAAGGATTATGTGGTGATAATACATTCTCTGTTTCTTTAAGTAGTGTATGATAATAGGCGCTTATCCTAATGTGCTGTCCGAAAACACCTACTACACTTGTATTCCCTTAGGGATGCTAAACTGTATCGCTAAGGGAGATTTACGTATGCTGAATAAAGTACTCCGTGGTGTCCAGTCACTCAGCTTAATGACTATATTTTAAAACTGTTTGGTACATTTCTATCGGCACTAAAGACTTTTCAACTTTTTTGGTTACTATGACGTAATCATCCAGTTAGACTGGCTGTATTCTAGAACGGTTTCTTATGAATCAAAAGCTTTTGAAAAATACTAGAATACTGTTACTATAATCCTGAATTTCATCAACTTCTCGTGTCCAACTCAAAAGTATTAGTCCCTATGAGGAAAGTAGTACATTAAAGTTAATACATTAGGCTCCCTGATGAGTTCTAACACTATTGCTTAGTGAGCATTTAATTGGAACGATTCAGTTTAAATGTTTTACATGCACCCTTTTTAAAAAAGAGCAGATTATATTACTGCACTTTAAAAAAAAAGAAGTAAAAACTTTAATTGGTTTCATCTTTACTTTTACTAATTCAGAACGTATGGATCCAGATTTTCTTCATCTTAATACCTCACTTGTTCAACGTTTATCTACGAGTGCAATAAAACCGAAACATTTCAATTCTAAATATCTACAAGAAAACAGCCGTCATTGTATTCCAGGATCATTGACATCAACACCAATGACGTCAACATCAACAATGACAGTATTTCCGGGAATAGTGACAAGCATGACTTCTACTTCTACGACCTCTTCCATGACTGTTCATCCTTCACATCAATCAACAAAAAGAAAACATGAAAATCGTAGATTGGATTTTGTAAAAACACGAAAAAATGCAACAACAGCACAAGCATCAACAGTAACCACATCTATTAATCAAACAAATTCAGCCTATTCAATTTCCATGATAAGTTCGTCGGAAGACGGACGTAATGAAGGGAATGGATATAATTTCTCTCGTAATAAAAAACGTGTTCTGTGTACCACTTGCAAAAAATCATTTTGTGACAAAGGTAATTTATATTTCATTATTATTACTGTGTTATTATCATTATAGTGTGCACCGCCACCTGATATTGCTACTCCTTCTAATTAACTTTGTCAAAGTCTGGCAGAGTTAGGCACATGAGTTTGATTAGGTCTTTAAAGTGTATTTGTGTTTAAAACTACAGGAAATCATGAAGGATATTCGTTGCTAATAATCATTTGTAGAGTCAATCAAGAATTCAAGATGATACCTTGTCTTTCAGTCACTTAGTTCGACTCCTCTGATTCAAGTCTCATATTATATTTTCTGCGTCATTAATCGGTTTTTGTACGCATCCATTAAATAAGTGACTTTGCATTCATCGAAGAATAACAGACTGAACTTTTCACACAATTACGTCAGTTCAACGTAGGTGCAGAAGGAGAATGACTGTGTGATGAACAAAAATGAATGCAATACAGGGAAGAAATACATGAAGATTTATGAAGCTTTATGTGATAGTGAAAACAGTAAGATGCGTATACATCTGTTCCACACTATGAGTGATTTGCAACCATTAATTCTAATCATCCCGATAGATTCCACCAGGTCGACCAAACAACCCTGCATGACTCAGATCAATATCCACTGAATTCACTGACGTTTTCAGGCTCCAAATGCGTAAATCCGCGAATAATTTGCAATGCATTAGCTAGTGTAAGACATAAATGAAGATGGTAAAACAGTCAGTGTTACTTTGGATTAAAGGTGTGACATTTTGAAGGTGGATCAATAGTTAGTTTAGTGTTGATTATGAAATGAACTTTGTGTGCTTGGAAATTCACTGAAATGTCCTACTGTGATCATGTATAGATTTTCTTTAACAATCATTAGGTTTTAAACTAGAAACATCTGAATGTTTCACTTACTTTTTATTTGTTTTTTTTAGGTGCACTAAAAATACACTACAGTGCAGTACATTTGAAAGAAATGCATAAATGTACAATCAAAGGTTGCAGTATGTGGTTCAGCTCACGAAGAAGTCGTAATCGTCATTCAGCTAATCCTAATCCACGTCTACATATGACACATTCAAGTAAAAAGTTACCAGAAAATGCAACAATTGTTGATGATGGAAGTGGTAAGTGAAATAATACGCAAGATAATTCATAAAGTAGATTTAATGCCCCTGAACCACTTGTAGAAATGAAAGTAAACTTAGATGTGAGCTTCTGTGTTCAGAGGGTATGGAGTAGCCAAAGTGGAATGGTTTAGTTAAAGTTATTTGCGTACTTAGTGCTTAATGTTCGTAAAGATCAATCATTTTAGGTGTTCCGCCCTTAAAATAGGTCCCGTTGTCATAGTTTTCAGTAGTAGTCAGACAATTCTGTTTTATTTTTCATTTTTTTTTACATTGGTGACTTATTAGTTTTGAAGAAAGGCTAGAAGATGAAAGCTTATTAAAGTTTACTGATCAAGAGTGGTAATTTGCTCTAGAAGTTAAACACCCTAAAGAGGTAGATATTCTTCATTTAATGTAAATGTACATTATAACAACTCAAGGAGATAAAATTAGTGCCTTATGACATTCATTAGCAATATTTCTTTACAAAACAACATAGACTATTTTAGTGTTCATCCAATATGATTAACTTGTCAGGGGAAATCTTTATGGAACTGGGTTAAAAACTTTGGGTTCATATCCTAGAGGTGATGTTACTTGCTTTAGGACTGGATATTCCTTAACCCAGTTCTTCATGGAAGACGAATTCACGAGAAGACAAGGCTGAAAACAGCACTAGTCAGGTAGTAACGATCTGTTCTAAATTACTATAGGTATGGACTGTGGTTAAATTGTTAGTTTGCTAACTTTCAACCTACGGTCCTGATTTCAAACCCTGTCTCACGTTCTCAAGTTCGAATAGATTTCATAGTATATGTGTAGTTGAATGTCAGGTACATCGATCTGTGAATGATTTCAGAGTCAAACCTTCTTTTTTGTTGTAACAAAATAAGAGTTTATATAATTCCTATGATGATAAAATTTTATCTGTACAAAATAGTTACTAGTACGAAACACTGGAATTGAGTTTATAAACGCCTTTTTTTGTCTTTTATAATGTATGTAATCTCTCTGTAATGATTTGCAGTTGTTGGACTACACTCCTTCTAATATCAATGAGCTGTTGGTATTAAAACCGTTTTTATTACAAATGGATATAAGTTTGAGTAGTGTTATGGTTAAAACAGGAGAGTGTGGCTCACTGAATTTTATTTTAGTGGTTGAATATTATTGTTATCACTGTAATATTTGATGTTTGGGTCTTCTTGAAAACGTACCGTTTCCCTTCCCAACAGTCCCCAAATGATGCGAAGCTGCTAACAAGAACTTATTAGTTCTCAATCATTCTCAAATCAACGTCGTTTCTGTGACAAAACTTCTTTAAAATATTTTTTCCATTAGACATGATCAAGCTTTCAGATAACTTTAAACATTGATTTGCATCTATCTCGATGATAATGAATATCGTTTTTAATTATTCATTTTTAGGTAAAGTAATTGGTAGACGCAATCCCTTGCCTAATTCGGTGCTAAATCCTCCTTTGTTACCAGTAATAACGACAACAAACTCAGTAACTGGTACAACCACATTATCATATTCTGGATGGACAAATGAGTTCAACGATTCCTTACACTTTAAGGAATCAAGCTCAAAATGTAAGCCATCAGCAAAAAGTATCTTTTCAACATGTCGACGTAAACGTGACAGATCTGCCTTGGGGGATTATGTTAACTGGCCCCAGTCGTCGGTTGACTCAATAAGTCTGACGTCAAATGATAGTCATGGACAATCCAATGTCGCTGCTGCTGCTGCCTCTTCTCCAAATCTTCATTGTCGTCAAGTACAAGAAAAGAAACACCATTCAAATGCTTGGAAATACAACAAAACTGAAGCACACTCTGACGTTGAGATTGGTAATAATGATCACTGGAATGAACCCCGATACATGAGTAGTATTGATGGTAGCTTAGATGGTAGACGATTGAACAATAAACTGGACTGTATGTCAAGTAATAACAGTGAATTTGGTGAAGATAATGATTGTGACGAAGGAAACAGTGATGACGACGATGAAGAGGAAGAGGGTATTCTACTTCCAGATGGAATTAGTTCATATGCCGGTGAAAATGATGACTTTCTGGGCATTAATAATTCAGAACACAATATAGACATAGGTAATGATAGCGGAAACGACAATGATGATGAGGAAGAGATGACTTGTAGTAGTACTGAAAATGCAAGAAAAACACAAGAGGAGTTGAGACAACAAAAAAGAAGACGAAAACACTTTAAAAGTCATTCAATTACACCAACATCACCAATAAGTACCAACGAAGTTGACGAAAAAAGAGTATTCACTGACGTGAATGAAACTGATGAAGCACTGTTAGATGAAAAGTATCTTCCTAACAAACAATCAAGTCAAAAATCAGTAACATCAGACTTTTCCGCTGCTGTATTGGCTCAGTCACCTTGCTAGTTGGATAGGCAATATCAGCATAGGACTTGGAATAATACTGCAACAGTCAACCTCCTCTGAATTACTGTTGAACACAAAAAAAATGGTTTGAACATCTCAGTGAACAAAAAGCATTTTTTCTTACATGTGATCAGAAATATAAATATGCGAAATCCTTCTGCCCACTTATTTGAGAAAATTATATACATGTACAATTTATTACTGAAAAATATTTGTCTTCAAAAATGTAGGAATAACAACATTCAATAATATATACTTCTTACCCTTTTAATTATTTCGAAAGACCTCTATTTCATTTATAGAAAATGCTATCTGTGCATAATTTTCTGATTTATAATTTGTAAATAGTTCAATATATCTTACTTTCTTTCCCAATTACCTCATGCTTACTTTAACAACAAAACACACTTTCATAAGCAATTCTTTTTTTGAATAAATTTCTAATACATAATTGGACTACTAATAAGTAGGTGAAACGTGTTCATAAAATTAAATCATGGGGGTTTGATCAGTTCCACTGTAGTAAAAACCTAAATATTTCTAGTAAAAGCTAATTAGTAAAGACAACTGCTAACTTTTGTTTGTATACAGAGATATACTCTTTAATCTAGACCTTGAACCATGACTAGCTTCAATTCATGAAGCCCCTATACGGGGCATCATAGGAGCTTGATAACTAGACAAAGATTGAACGCTGCTGTTAAAAAGACTTTTTATGCAGCTAATATCATAATAATTGAGAATGTGAATCCAATATATCTATCTAAGCCCTTTGAACATGCGAAAAATGATGTCACATCCCACTGTATTTACCAGTTTGAATGTACGTGTGGACACATATACATAGGGAGGACTCATCGATCTCTGCAAGTAAGAGCTGGCTTCAGAGCATATTCCTAAATGGCTCCAGAAGCAAATCGAATCTTCAGAACCCATTAATGGTGAGAACAGGAGACCTAGCTCCTCTATTGCGAAACATATTATAGAGACAGGACATAAAATTGACGTTAACAGATCTTTTAAACCTATCCATAAAACGTGTTTGGGGCGTATCCTAAAGTTTGTGGAAGCCCTAGAAGTTTAGATGTTATATTCTTTCAATATTGTTTTATGTAGTTAACTTTTGAAGAATAGATTTGACTAAATTCCATATGAAGAAAATGAGATAAACTAATAAAGCTTGCAAAGTGAATTATTCTGTCGATAGTTGCTTTTTGAAGTCATTCAAGAGGTTTCAGACTTAAAATGAAGATGTGTGTAAACACATAATGAAAGCCGAAAATACTTGGGCGTTATAGTACAAAGATAACATTAACAGTCGTAAGCTATTCAGTAGTTAAATTCGGTACTTTCTAAAATATGAGATCATGCATTCAGCAAGGCAAATAGAATCCTATAATTTTTCATATAAGTGTGTTGCTAGTGTAGTGAGGACAAAACGATGCGATTATATTGCGACCTAGACAAAATTTAGTGCGAATTTAATGCTTTATGCTCATAATGGCCTGTCTCTTCACTGAAAGACATGTGTATTAATGATAGATAAAAGACATTATTGTAGGTAGTTTTCACAGTAGACTGATACAGGTCCACTGGCTTTATGTGACTAAAAAATATCAACTACCAAGTAACAAAATAGTGACTGAATGGTTACATATTCAACTTATGGATTAAAAGTCTCCGGGTTTTCTAAATGGGACTGATCAGTTTTTTTAGCTTAACCTAATCAGTCAGTATGGCATTAACAGATTCTACTACTATGCTGGTAGTGTCTTTATGATTAAAACCTTCGAATTAAGTATCCGGTGATCCGAGTTCAGACTTTTGCGAAGATTAAACAGACCCCAAAGCTGCAAATACGCTTTTCTGTCGAGTACTGACAAATATGAAATCAGTGTGAATCAAGGTTTCGCATTAAGCACATCCAACAGTCCGAAATCATTCAGAGTACATTATAATGTACAGTCACCTCGATATGTGATGACATTTAAAACTTAAGCGATGAAATCTGATAACTAGACAAAATCCTAAGGGAAACTCTTTCTTGATTTATTAGTGTACTTTACACTTCTACTGGCAAACTTTGATATTAGCTAAGTAGCTGTCTTGTTAATTGTATTAACTTTCTAAAGCCTTATCAGTAAGGATAATCTTAACTGGGATTCATTAATCTCCAGTTCACTCATATTTGGGGATACGCACACTATTATTGATTTTGATATTTCGAATCCAGTCTGCATGGAAAAACGAGATTTCGAAATAGTCTTAGTTAATTTAAGATAGCATTAGGTTAAACAATAGCAATAACTCCTCTTTAATATGCATAAGCTTCGAGAAGAGTGTCACGTCAAGGTTTGAGACCTATAACTGTAGGTAATTACTACTAGTTGTGCTCAACCATTCATAGTCTATTGCTTAGTGAGAAGGCCTTTTCAAAGTCGATGAAGTTGAGGTAGAGAGCTGACTAACATTCCAAGCTCTGTTCAATGATGAGAGAACTAGGAGTAAGAGAAGTCAAAAACAGACAATGATCTAGTGAGTCATTGTTTAGAGAGTTAATATGGAGCAACTGAAGGTAAATAATCCAGTTTATATACAGTTTCAACAACTGTCTCAGACGACCTCAATTATTACAACTATCGTTCCAGAATTAATATCTGACATAATTAGGAATAGTCAGTTGTCACTGAAGCTGTGTAGGTTTAATTATTCGTGATGAATCAGAAAATCAGTTTACCGATTTAATTGGTGGATGGTGACTAGCAGTGGAATCCAGGATGCACATTTCGTCCTATTCGGGACTCGTCATATGGATGTAACTGCATTCCTCAGTGATTGATGATGTTCCGACCGAGGTTCGGACCCAGTGCCCATAGTTTCAAACGCCAAAGCGTTATCCACCAGACCACTTGGGCCACGACAGCCACCTCTTGTGCAAAGGGTCATATTAATTATTTAATTGAATTCTAGATTTTCCCGTCGATTGATTGGACCAAAGTGCTCGGTCTCAGTGGATAATGCTTTGGTGTCTGAAACCATGGGCACTGGGTTCGAGCCTCGGCGGGAACATCATCACTCACTGGGAAATGCAGATACATCCAGATGGCGAGTCCCAAATAGGACGAAATGCGCATCCTGGATTCCACTGCTGGTCACCATCCACCAATTAACTTCTAATTACATGTCCAGACATCGTCGAAGCATCTGCACAAGAAGCCGATATGTCAACCTGAGATCGAACACTTCTGTCCAATCAATCGACGGGAAAATCTAGAATTCAGTTTACAAAACTATTCAATAACTTCAGATCAGTAAACTGTTGGAATTAACTTAACATGTATACGCCTGTACTCAGTCACCTTTTCTACTGCGCGCACTTTTCATTGCTTACTACTCACACAGAGATGTATGACAGTAATGAAAGTATATTTTTCATTCGCAGAATAGTATAAAAGGAAAAGTATTATACAGCTGATTTGGTGATTAATAGCAGTTTAAAGTTTATGAAGTAACTTAACAGATACACTTCTTATTGATTCTTTCCCATCATTTGACTGTTACTTTCAAATCATTAAGCGAAACCAAGATGTGCGGATTATTCTCTTCCTACTATAGCTAATCATTGTTATTTAATATAATATTAGTAGTAATGACTGTATGATTTGACTTTTTGAGCAGTGGTAGAACACGGATAAACAAAATGTTTAAATGAAATGCTCTCACAAGTAGGGAATGAACTAAAAGAATCAAAGATAGAAGAGGAACAACAGATTGTGAAATATACGAAGATAGAGAGAAGTATGAACAAGTCGAACAAAATTATGCAACCACATGGAGATTTGGAATTCAGCATGCTGGATTTGCAGAAAACACTCGTCAACAGGAAGGTTGAAACCAAATGCCAACATTAGATATAGCTCAAAGACTAATTCGTATACAAAATCAGTGCTACAGACATTTAGGTGTGGAATAAATATGTTCAGATTTGCTGATTTCGTTACCAAGAGATGCAGACTAGGTTCTCAAAGAGAACATGAACTTCCTCAAGGTAGCTGATATGCGTTCAGGATAACACAATTATCATCTAATATTCAGAACTAAACAATGGATACATTAGAGTCACACCATCTAGTTTAGTAATCGCACTGCATGAGACACCAGTAAACTGATCGGCACTTAAGAACACTAGTAGTTGTAATAAACGTTAGTAGACGACTAAGGAGAGTTAAGGATGTTATTTTATCATTTTAACTAGGGTAACTGGTTAAATTGATTTTCTATCATTTATTCGGTCAAATTGAGCAACAACTTCTTGCGTAATCAGTATCATTTAACCAGTGATGGCTGGAAGTGGAATTTAGGACGCGGATTATGTGTTATTTGAGACCTATCAACTGAATGCATCTGCATCCCAGTGAGCAATGAAATTCCTATCCTAAGGCGACATCGAAGCTCCAATATTAGGAACCGATACGCTAAGAAATGCCGAGTAACTCAATCTAGTGAGATCAAACCACTGGAAATTTCAATGAGTAACTGCTGCACACAATTTCATCATTTTCTCTTATAAATAAAATTCATATGGAAAGTGATACTTCTTCACATCCAGTCGTATATATACAGCAAATTACTCTGAACTATGGCCCGAAATGAGAAATCAGTCTTAAAGCTGTCCAAAATGACTATGAATACCGGAGTAAAACAAGACTGTCTGCCTATTAACACCGATCATATTCTTAATTGTGGTGGACTGAATTATGTATCAGGCAGACTGTGGGGAGTGAGAAGATAGGAACACGCCACACTGACCGGTAAGGAGACTCTAGAAGATCTGGATTTCGCATAAGATATATGTCCAGTATCACACAAAGTCGAAGACTTGCAGGCGAAAACCAACAAACTGGCAGAAGAAGCAGACAGCGAAGACAGGACTCCAGGTGAACGTAGAGAAGACGGAGGTGATGAAGTTGACCAACCAATACCAACAACAGCAACCAGCACCAATCACTATCAACGGGAGAAATTTGACAGAGGTCACTTCCTTCACTTATCCTGCTAGGAAGCACGGTTTCAACCACAGGCGGGATGGCTGAAGATGTCAAAGCCATCCAGAATCGGAAAGGCAAGATACGCCTTCATCAACGTGAAACTAGTTTGGAAATCTTCTGCACTCCGCCTCAGCATAAACAACAAGATCAGGATTTTCAACACAGACGTTAAGTCAGTCAGTTCTTCTATACTGATCAGAAACTTGCACTGCGCGTCACGAAGGGCATTTCCGAAAGGCTAAAGCAGACTTTTATCAACAGCTGCCTTCGCTGGCTCCATATTGAAGAACAAATGGCCAGTCGGCCAGAAAGAATCAGCAACAAGAAACTCTGGCTTGGAACAAACTAACCAAGAACCTGTTGTCCAACAAATATGTAGGAGAAAATGGAGATGGATCGGTT